ATCAGCAAGAATATAAGGAGTTTGACAACGCTACTGTAGATCAGGTAAGGGATATCTTCATCAGCCATAGATATGCCTGTAGGATAATTATAGTTTTTAACTTTACCGCAACCGTACCTATAGATATAGATACATAAAAAATTATAACTCTAAGGCCCGTAATAAGTATGAGACCAACTCAGCCCTCATAGACGAAATACGTGAGGACTATCTGTCATGAATTGCTATTAACCCAGAAGTATTAGAACTTGATAAAATCGATTCAACTTGATACCTACACCTATAAGAAATACTAGACCATGATTAGATTAGTGGGCAGGTTTAGCTTCCAGACACTAGGGTTTTTTTATGCAAGACAAGGTAGGTATTTGACCGCATCGCACAGTCTAGGATGGTACATATCTGCCCTGTAAGTAAGGTTCTCCGAACAGAAGATGATAGCTAAAGAAAATACTTAATAATCGCTATTTTTCTTCTGAATCATAACGTTTAACTTCAACCTTCCCATTTTCAAACAGCCTTTCTTATTACATTTTGTAATATGAACATTATGAAAGATTCCGCCAGTGAGGAATTTCCTCAAAGGTTCATTAAGCCCAAACGAATTATTAAAGTATGTTCTTAGCAGCGGTTTCATCCAAGTTACTTGAGTGAGCTACTCATACTCTTTGCACAATAGCATTAGGTACATTCAGCAGGCTTACTACGGAACTCGATGAAAACACATTATATTGACTTAGTCTTTATCTTTATAATATTTCGACAGATCCGTCCGAATTCGAAATATCTACGGATTCCGAGGTTTTTCCATTTTCATATTGTTTAAGAATTATTTAAATAACGAATATTAAAGTGTAAACGTATCAACAACAGATTTAAATTTGACAGTTGAAATCCGGATTTGATCAAAGATTAAATATGGGAAAGGGGTGTGTATAACGCCCGTATTCTCAACCGATGCTTGCTTAAGTGAAGCAGCAAATCCAACGTACAACGTTGAATATAGCTCGTATGTCACCCTGTGCGTCCACGCGCACTGTGAGACCTCATAGTAATGTTTGAGAATACGGGTGTAGTGTCAAGTTTTAGCGTGGTAGGGTAATTGATACAACTTCAGCTGGAGTTTGAATCTACGCTTGTTCTTGACATAGCTTTTAGTAATTGCTATTGTCTGCACAACTGAAAATACTAATCAATAGCTTATTCGTGAACCTTCTATAGTCTGGTCTGCGAGCACGTAGAATTTTGTCCAATGACCCCAAGCTACCCATCCTTATCGCTCGCGCGTAATTATGTTGCAATCGCGCTCGCACACTCACTGCGAGCGCCCGTCGCACAGTCGTGACAGCAATATAATTACGCGCGAGCGATAAGGATGGGTAGCTTGGGGTCATTGGACAAAATTCTACGTGCTCACAGACCGGGCTTTAGACCAACTTTCTTGTACCAACTTCGCGGCCTGAAGTGGAGACACGTCGATAAGTTTGAGCTAAACTTAGATCTGTGAAGGCCTTTGTTATCGTTCTCTTAACGCGAATACATTCTTAAACTTTTCCAAGAGAATATTTCACGGAAAAGAAACTTATGTTTGAAACTGCTGGTTTGAAATAAAGCTTGTTTGTAAGACTGACATGGTTTAAAAGTAGTTTGGTTTGACACATTTTTTTATTTTTATTTTTGATTGTTATATTTTACAAGAGACTGTCTGGTCTCTAGAGTTTTAGACTGAACTACATTTTAACTAGATTATAAATAAATATTGAGACCCCCCTAGACAAAATGCACTTATCAAAAGAAAATCGAATGCATCAACAAAAAAAAGGACTTTCGACCACTTTTCGACCGGTTTGCGATTTTAATGTGCACTTTGTCTAGACCCACAATTGACTTGAACTTGAACACACATAATGAAGTAGAAATCGCAAGTGTTCGTGAAACCAGAATGTTGTAATTCACTCAAGCATCACAGAATCAGTAAAAAGGTCCAAACTGGAATCTACAACGCCACTACGACACAGTTTTTTATAAAAATTGCATAAAGTTTATTTAAAAAATGCAATATCCGCTAGCAGCGGCGACCGTTGCATGCTATTACACGAGACCGGAATTTTTCATACGGAGCTATTTCCATCGACAGGCACTCGAATAACGCGAAATAGAACACGAATTTTCCACTTGCTCTATTGAGAATATTGAGATACATACTTTTAAGTAGGTAAACTTTGCTGAACTGTACTGTTTTATTTTTATTTTTTTCTAATTAGACATGACCTACATAAAAGAGCGTGACGTAGCGTGGGCGTAGCATTTGCGTGGTAATGATATAAAATGATAGCAAAGAATAATCTGAGCTTAGACAGGCTGTACTGATCTGAGAGGTTGCTCAATTTTGCATGTTGCAACAACAGATGTGCGGCCGCAATAATTCCAACCGACAAAAAACGACAAACTTAATATCGGTATAGACTCGAAGAAAGAGCTCTTACTATAAAATCAATGAAATAACTGCGTACTTTTCCAATTAAATGAATATTATTTATTTAATAGACACAAACCTGTCAAATAAGAAACCCGGTAAACGGTCTCAAAGAACTGAGTTTCCAGGCAGCCGCTGGATTTTTCCAGAGCTTTGGTATTCGTTAGCTTCCTCCAAATTGAATTCAGGATAGTCATTGTGTCACGCAGGTTTGCCTCCTGAAAATGAACAAAATGTTTAGATTCAAAACATTTGCTTGGAGGTAATTAAGTTGAGACCTAGCGGGGCCGTTTCCATTGTACCATTGAGCTTGAAGCCGACTTTTAAAATAAAGCTTTCATCCGACTTTGATGTAGAAATTGGCTTTTTAATATGTATAACTGAAAAGGCTTAATTCTGTGGCTAATATTAAGGCTATTTTTTAATTGATTTGCACGGCTTCATACTTACTTACTTAGCACTAATCTCAGTAAGTAGTTATCACTGTTAAAATTTGAACAGATGCTTGGAAATGATTGAGAAGTGGTACTTATATAAATAAACTAGCGGCCGCCCGCGACTTCGTACCTACGCGTGGATTCCGTTTTGCCCCCTTAGGGGTGGAGTTTCGTAAAATCCTTTCTTAGCGGATGCCTCCGTCATAACGTCTACCTACATGCCAAATTTTAGCCCGATCCGTCCAGTGGTTTGGGCTGTGCGTTGATAGATCACTATGTCGAATTTGCATACAAATAAGGAGGTACCTTCATGGTCACGTTGACATGCGAATAGATACGATACTAAAAATAAATATAATTGTCATATTTATTTCCCTAATGTAAATAACAATTTATTGTTAAGTAAAAACTTCTAGGGTTAGCGACACCACTAAGTTAATAAACCAATTGGTTATCAAGACCTATCTCATTATGCGTCTTAAAACGCTCGCTAGTACAGACTAGCTAGATGGAAAGAAACAAGGAGATTCAATAAGCTCATATTAAGAAATGACGCTCAAAACTCGTCTCAAACTCAAGCTCAGAATTCATTTCTACGTAATTAAAAAGTCCAATAAAATGTCGCAGTTCATTGTCACGAACAAGGGATTCATGCAAGCGTTTAGCTTTAAAATAATTAAACTATGAAATCGTAATAAAACCCATAATTATTTTCTCATCATATCCATTATAATTCGAACCAATTATATTCACATTAATACGTTAATAAATAAGCTTAATATAAGTGTTTTGGTATTGTTTCTTACAGTCATTCTTTACAGTTTAGAAAATAAATATTAATAAAACTAAAGGCTGAGTTGCACCAACTTACTTTCACCGTAACTTTAACAATAACCGGTGCTTTTTGTATAGAGTTTGACAGATTTTTGACGTTTGTCAAAGCTAAAGTAAGATGGTGCAACCCAGCCTAAGTACAATAAGTATTGTCATGGATTAAGTCAAGTGTTTATCAAATATCTGAAACTTAATTATTATAAAGATCACATTCAGTTCTTTAAATATCAATCATCTATCGATTCTCTATTCACATAGCATGCACACATAGCCTAAGTTGCGTACATTTTATTATATTAATTTGATAATACATAAATATAGGGACATACATACATTTTGCGTAACTAAAGCCATAAATCAAGTTAATATTCAACGTGTAAATAGATCATTTAACATTACTTTAAATACAATAACAACAGTCATATCTCTATTTAAATAACATACAAATGTGATAACTAGGACTTATAGTATGTTGTTCCGAAGATCCAATTATAAATAACTTATTTTATTGTCATGTATTCCTTTTGAATGCAAATGTCATGATTTCAAGATCACAATTCATGTCGTCATTATAAAAAGAATGTAGTAAAATCATGTAGAATGACTAACAATCACTCAATATGGCTATTTATTATAATAAAATGAAAGATAGTAACATTGATAAATAAAAAGGACACTACACCTGACATCGGGGTTACAATTTGCACGATAGAAGAAGAAAAAGAATCAAAAAGGAAAGAAATAGAAGGTCTTCTTTAGGAAAATTACGATGGTAAAACCCGCTGAATAAATCACTCTCTCTTTATGATTCGCCGTAGTCGGATAAAACTTTATAATTATGTACTAAGGCCCAGAACAGACGGTGAAACGCAACTGCAACGAAACTGCAACTGCTAGTTACTTTTGAGTTGCATCTAAGTTTCTGCCATAGCGTCCGTTGGGAGACCACACATGACGCGACCAGTTAGAAACTTTCAGTTTTAGTTTCATTCATCAGAATCATCACAAAGTTGCAGTTTCGTTGCAGTTGCGTTTCACCGTTGGGTCTAAGAGTAGTAGTGTAAGGCTGGGTACTTGCACCATCTTACTTTAACTTTGACAAACGTCAAAAATCTGTCAAACTCGTCGTTCGTCGTTGCATCATCATCAACTTTGATCGTGACTATAACGATAACCGGTGTATTTTGTATGGAGTTCGACAGATTGTTAACGTTTGTCAAAGTTAAAGTAAGATGGTGCAACCCAGCCTAAGAGTAGTACAGTCAGCTTCAAATATGTAGTTCGTGACACCCAACGTAAAAATATAGATTTTTCAACCAATGCTTGTCTACAAAAATGTGGACCAGAAGCTCTGGCCCAGAGCTCAAGAAACGCAGTCACTGTTGTCAGCCTTTTTATTGGTTACTAATTACGATAGTGATCTTTAATCGAGATATGATAATACAAATCAATACTGGTCTTTTGAGCATTAAGCTGAATACTGTGGCACCTTATATCGTTGTATTAGGAATTATTTTGTAACAACAGAGTAGTTTGACGTACTATACAAAAATATTCTCGTTTATCTGACATTCGATTATTGAAATATCAAGATTCAATTATTTGCATCAAACTGTCCAATATTTTAGAGCCAACTTGACCATAATGACAGGACTAGGTACTAAAGTAGAGTTTTTAATGGTTTTATTCCAATAAACGCTACTGCAATGCAAACTTAAACGTAAGTAGCTGTAGACGGTTTTAAATAATATTGTTGTTAGGTATTTGTAAGTGTTTATAGAATGAGCCATAAAATGGTATTATTATATTTTGTAATTATTTTGTGTACGTGAGAAAGCTCTATGTTTGGTAAGGATATGGCAACCTAACGTAAACCTGAAAACCATAAAAATAGTTCAAACAAATAACGTAACTCAATTAAATTATCCCATTTTTATCCCATTATTCACCATTCTCCATGATCACTTTTTGCGAGCATTTAGACATTTTGTAGTACGACCGCTTATCATCATTTGCAAATATAACCATCATCATCATTTGTAAATATTGTCTCGCATCAATGTCTTTTTCAGTTTGCTCGTAGAAAATTGCGAAAAACTAGAATACTACCTACTCTCTCAAAACTTAATAAAAGTAACCTGATAATAACAACAATTTAAAAAAAAAACATTGATTCTGGTAGCAAAATACCAGTTAAAAAAATGTGGCTTTGGCACAGAACAAACAAGTAAACGCCTAACCTACAACTTAAAAATTACCCCTGACAAATAAGATTAAACCAAGATTACAAATCCAGATTACACGTGATTTTGGTGGCGGTGAGATGGTCTTGAGGGCAGCCCTATGATGATAGAGAACAGGAGCTGCACCACGAAGACGCAGTTATGTTTAAATTCAAGCTAATTTTGTAGTACGATCATAGTACAGAATTAAAAAAGTGACGACCTAACTACAACTTAATCGCAATTTGTTAAACTTAAGAGATTACAAATCCAGATATGTGATTTTGGTGGCGGTGACGGCAGCGGCGGCGGCGAGCGCTGCGGCCACCGCTACCACCGCTGCGGTGGTGCCCATGGCCTTGACGGCCAGTCCCATGATGACTGAGACGAGGAGTTGCGCCACGAAGACGCAGCTGCTGACCACGGCTACATCGGTGCCGATACCACGCTCCTGTCCACAACCGCCTCCTGCGCTGTCCCACTGGAATCGGAAAAATAGACTAAGTACAATTTACAGGTTCAATATTGAATATTTTAATGAGAGTGAAGAAGGAAGGATTTGGCCTACACTTAAAGCTTAAACGAGGAAAGTTTACTTAGCTTCATTGCAGTACTTAGTCGTTTATTTCATTAGCTTGCATCCTACATTATGTGTACTTATAGTATTAAGTAAGTAGGTAGGGTAATTTTAAGCCTTAAAGTTTTAGTCACAAGCTTTATTTAAATCTGAATTTTGTAATCTTTTAAGTGTTGTATTAATGAGATGCAAGCGTTGTAAGTTTGAGATGGAAGTTATGAATACTTAATCATTTTATTAGACGTACATAAAACTGTTCAGTACAATGGAAACGTCGCCACTATCGTGTCACGTCAAAATGTTTAGCATTTGCGTTCTTAATTACAGGACGCGCGTCTCCTTTGATGTCGCATGGAATATGCAGCGCTCTCGATCACAAGGGCATGCCACTTTGCATATTTTATGTGCTTAAGAATATCAGAAACGCTTTGTTACTTCGATAGTGAGTGTAGTAGAAGTTAATTAAATGAAAGAGTGGACTGTATACAATTAGTTGTCTATTCGGTATAAATAATTAACAATATTATCGAGACCGTTTTGTGCAAAGTCGTTGAAGAGAGTGCGTCAGGATCGTCTTCTTAGATGTTCGCTCGCGAACCGAACATTGCTCGTTCGTTCGCCGAACGCTCGCCGCTCCCTCCGGTCACGCCGCCCGCGGGCAATGTCCGTGAGTAGACAGCTTTCTATTATGGTTTATTCACTATCACTGCTACGGCAGTTAAAGTTGAAGACCTTATATCTCGGAAAAAGTTGTTTATAAAGTAAAATATAAATGTTGGTTAAATTCGAAGTGGGTTTTTATTTTATTTCAATTGTTTGTTAGATTCAAAAAATAATTTAAAATCTGAAGAATCTGTAATGACGATTTTAAGTTTGAGGATGATGATGATGATTCATTCGAGCGATTTCGGCCATGGCGACCACTTTGACTCCTAACTGTCTTGGCGGCGCTGGTGCACCCGAAGATGGCTTACGTAGCCGATCTTCGCGGCAAACCCCCTCGCACATTGAAGGCATCTGAGCATTTTTTTTATTTTTTATTTTTGAAAAAGATTATTAGCAATTTATATTGCCCAAATTACTAATAGTCCCATTAGCCCCTCGTGGTAAGCTAAATAAGCTTGTGTTACGAGTGGGCTCACCACAATAGTCGAGCGGCGGTGTGTTTCGTACCCGCGTTCCTCGGATCTCGAGTCGGCCACTCCGCCGACCCCTTCACCGTTCGGCTATCGTGGCATTAAAACTCTACTGTCATCTTACAGTACCGCTTCGTGTGAAGGTGTGTGAACAGCAGCAGGTACAACATAAAATGAAATAAGTAACATCAATACAAGGTTTAGAGAAATATATCTTACCGTCCCTGTCGCGTGGTAGTGCGCTACTAGCAAGTAAGGCATGGTGAACAGCGTGGAGTACATGACTCCGGCCGTCCAGCTGAACAGCAGTACATCTGCGCGTGCGCGGATGGCACACAGCAGAAACATACCGCAGCTGTACACGTAAATACTGAAGGTACAAGGGTATCTCACCGTCCCCGTCACGTGGTAGTGCGATACCAGCAGGTAAGGCATGGTGAACAGCGTGGAGTACATGACGCCGGCCGTCCAGCTGAACAGCAGTACAGCTGCGCGTGCGCGGATGGCACACAGCAGGAACATTCCGCAGCTATACGTGCAGAGACCCCCCACGTACACTTTCTTGGCTCTGGAAGAGATAAACGTAGGGTTTTGAGGGTTGAAAAAGTAATGTCACGAAAGTTACTCGACATTAGACACTGGGTATTCTACCTGTTTCTAGTAAAAAGATCACTAAACGTGTATTGATACAGTTTTAGGTCATCACGCGTGCTCTGCATTAATAGTGCGTGGTGCTTAGGTTGTTTGTTTTTATAACAAAGCAACTATACTATTTATTGTTTAAGTTTCCGCTGCAGGGCTCGATCCTCTCTAATTTAACATGTCGGATTTAGCAAACTCTACCCTGGCTGAGGAGAACAGGACGGGTTGGGCAGACATAACTGTTTACCATGGAAGAATTACCGCCTAAATATTTCTTTAAATTACTTTATAATTTTGACTATTTTCGCTTCATTTGTTTAATACGCATTTCACAAGCCAGGAAATCCCTAGCAGTAGAGATTAGCGTTAGAGTATTGATTTTAAATCAGTTGAAGCCACAGAAGTGTCCGCCGGGAAACAGCTGAAAGTCAAGGGCCGTCTGATCTCATTACTGATAGGAAATAGTGAGTCGCAGTCAAGTTGAAGGGCTAGGTGGGATGACCGATACCTGCATGCAAAGTCAAAATACTGCGACTTGACACTACCCAACTGACTTCAACGAACTTTTTTGTTTTTTTAAAGTCTTACAAACGCAGACTTCTTGCGGTCAAATGCCTGCCTTGTCTAGCATAAATAAAACTTACAAATTAGGCACGTATTTTTTTGTTGTGTGATAGATGAAGCTCTAATGCCCGTTTTCACCATCAATCCCAAATTTTTAAGTGACCCCTATTGGTAACACATAACAGGAATTTTGTTTTCATAGGGGTCACTTAAATTTAAGAATTGATAGTGAAAACGGGCATAATAAATACTGACTTCGAAAATAAGCAGGATAATTTCAAACCCGTATATTTTTTATGGCTCTACCAAGTAACTCAATCTTATAAATTCGAACAATAACTAGACAATATTTTAAAAGTGATTACAAGAAATCAAATTTAATCGTCTTATCTTATTTATTAATGGTTATAGGTGATCAGGTTCAATTGGCTCTACCTAAAGAATTTAAAATTAAATGCAGTGATTCGAGACAAAGGCATTAAATTTTATCTTAATGAATTATCGTTAAGGACACATGTGCATGTGGATTGAGTGATCCTTGCTTCAATCTTAACAAAAATCGAGGAAGTTTTACTTAAAATATGTTAAAACATTGCGATGAAGTTTAAATACGGCCCGTGTGCGGTGTGAGTGATCCTAAATAATCGTCATAACTTTGGAACGGGACGTGCAAGGAATTTCTGAATTTGTTAATAGTTTTAACATATTCTTAACAATTTTTCAATACTATAAAAAGAAGTGGAAAGGCTTTAGTTTCTGAAATAAACATGTTGACGTTTTCTTAAAGCGTGCGGTATGAGTGCTCCTATTTATTGGCCATAACATTTTTGTCTTAGGTTTAACAAATGTTTAAACTTCATCGCAATGTTTTAACATATTTTAAGTAAAACTTCCTCGATTTTTGTTAAGATTGAAGCAAGGATCACTCAATCCACATGCACATAGGACACGCGTATAAATAATTGCTTGCGTAAAAAAACTTGAAAATATACAACAATAAGTGGTGTGGTCATTCAATACCTTTTAGGGTATTCAAATTACCGATTCTTTTGTATGTTTTCATGGTATAGAGTTAAATATCCGACAAGTAATATGTTATTTTGTTATGTTTGTCTGTTTTTAGAAATAATTTACAAATATGAAGTTGTTTTTAATAGATTTTATACTATCGAGCAACGTTTTTGTAATTAACAACTATTATGACTACAAGTTAAAACAGAAACTAATTAAACACATAGGACAGCTTCAATAGCATTTGACTAGTTTGCTTTCCTTTCTATTCCACTCTAAGCATTATCATCATCTTCATCAATCAACCGGCCGTTTGGAAGCTTTTTATGTTAACTAAGTACTTAAATTCTTTGGGAAAAATAGTCACCAATGCTTAATCTGCCCCACTGTACCCATGGACAGATATTGATGTCTACAAATTATATCTATCTACTTGGATATCTTAGGGACTACACATCAAACAGAGAACGGGCAGCAGCGCTCTCTGAAAAACATCAATCTTTTAAACTGCGATCTCCAACCCGCCTGCCAAGCGTGGGGATTATGGCAAATCCCTCCACTATAGTGGAGGAGGCTCATAGTCCAGCTCCTCTGCTGGACTATGTAAAGGGCTGTTGATGATGGGAATCTGTCTACGCCTAAGCGGAAAAGGGAATATTTGGTAGGTACTCAGACCTACCCAAAGCGCTTGATGAGTTTCTCAATGACGGTGGAGTAGCAGGCACAGGAGAGCGAGTACATTGCCATGCCCCAGCATCCGAAGCGGACGCCGGCCTCGTAGTCCACGCGGCTCTCCGAACCCACCGGCGCCTGAAAGGTTTGTACAAGCAATTTAACGTCGACGACATTTCCTAAAGGCTTATTGCGATATCGAACGGGTTTCGTGGGTGCGCAAAGTAGTTTTTCTTTAAATAAAATCTTGTATAAAATAATCCTATTGTCAAATACGAATACATAATTGAAATAAGTGGATTCGAATTCAATTAAGTCTTAAGTACTACTCGTAACACTCAAACTCCTACTTAAATAATATCTACAGGACGCACAGTATGTTATGAGACTGTATAATCGGACATTTTCATTTATTTGATGAACCGTATAGAGCTCAGTTATACAAACATGATAGTAAAACTCCCGTTTGAAAATTCCAAGTAGTTTTCGCGGTATAAAAATTCAAAGTTACCTATTTTTTTACTTCAAAATTATGCAAAAATATTCTCACTCGGTAACTAATAACATTTAATTCAGAATTGTTATAATACTTCATAGAGCTCTTAAAACTACACGTAATAAGCGTATTAAGTGCTTCGTAAACGCATTCAGTTAATTGGGAAAAAATATTTTTGTGATTTTTGTTTTTATTTTTTTTCTCAATTATACCTTGATATATGCAAACATTTTTAATTGCAAGATATAGTCTGATATTTAATCTAATTGTATAAAAAAAATCAGCTTTAAATTCCGTGATATATTTGAGGAAAATCAAATTGAAAATATGCGCCATATAGAATTGTAAATTTCCCATCACTTTTTAATAGCAATATTTCTTTTGGATGTTTAAATATCATCAGCTCGATTGTACCAAATTATTGTATTGACATTCGATTTACATAGGTTTCAAATCGATGAGAAAATTATTAAAGGTAGGATAAATTCGACTTCCTAGATTTGTTTACATACTTTTTTAGTTAGTTACTTACATACAACTTAAGTTAATATAAGAGTGTTAAAAAAGAAAAAAGACTCGACTTGAGAACCTCCTCCTTTTTTTGAAGTCGGTTAAAAACAATGTGAATGTGACTTTTTAGAACCTTCAACACTATGCACATAACAGGCGGGATTTGAAACTTTTTAGACATGAATTATTCCTTCCAAAATTGTCGACCCTAGACTCGTAAAAATTTTATTAAGACGTTTTATGTTTTTTCTCAAATATATCACGGAGTTTAAAGCTGATTTTATTCATACAATTAGATTAAATATCAGACTATATCTTGCAATTAAAAATGTTTGCATATATTAAGGTATAATTGAGAAAAAAAATAAAAACAAAAATCACTAAAATCATTTTTCCTAATTAACTGAATGCGTTTACGAAGCACTTAATACGCTTATTACGTGTAGTTTTAAGAGCTCTATGAAGTTTATAACAATTCTGAATTAAATGTTATTAGTTAACGAGTGAGAATATTTTTGCATAATTTTGAAGTAAAAAAATAGGTAACTTTGAATTTTTATACCGCGAAAACTACGTGGAATTATCAAACGGGAGTTTTACTATCATGTTTGTATAACTGAGCTCTATACGTTTCATCAAATCAATGAGAATGTCCGTTTATACAGTCCCATAACACACTGTGGGACGTGAAAAACATCGCAGGTACGTGATTTGACTAAAAAGATTTATGTAGGCGTATTTGTTGCACTACGTATACTCGTAGTAACGTTTCCCACAGGTTCGCAAGATAAATCCTCAATTTTACTTCATTTTGCAATTAAAGATAGGTTAACACAAGATAAGTGATCAATACATTCAAGAACTACGTACCTAGCCAATGTCAATGGGCTTCATTTGTTAGAAAAATTGACAGTTTCTCGCCCATATTCACATCGAACTATTGTATAAGTAGAGCTCTGTGATTGGTTCATGTGTCACCCTGTGCGTCCGCGCACACTGTGAGACCTCATAGTTAGTAATGTTTGTGAATACGGGCATCTATTGCGGACTAATAACAAAATACTTACAGCGGGATTTCCTCCAAACACAGCCTCCCCAACGAAATCAGTGAAGTACAGCGAGTAGCACACATGGGCCATCCAACAGAAGAGGTTGGTTAGGCATACCACGCGAAGGGAGGCTGGCATCATGACGATGGACTTCAGGTAGTGGGCGAGGGTCAGAGACTGCGCGTGCGTCGCTTCTGGTATCGGGACGGATGGAGTTCCGGTCTGTAAAGGAGCGAAAAGTGTTCCTTAAGTCTTCAATATATTTTTAACTGACATCAAAAAGAAGGAGGTTCTCAATTCGGTTGAGAACTTCCACCAAAAAGTAAGGGTAAATCGTAAAAAAACCTTCATAATTCCTGAGGATACCGGGTGAAGCTCGCTTCCACCTTCGGCCTGATCGTCACTTACCATCAGGTGAGATACAAGCCAAGAGCTTCCTCGTTGTGGATAAAAAAATACAAACTTCGATCTAGAGCTAGACAATTGTTAACTTTTAAGTTATACCTACTTAATTTGATAGGTTACCATTTGAACCATTAGCAGGTTAATTTTTCAAAAAACTAGCTCGTAAGTAAATTTTTAATAGTGACTAATACCTAATACCTACTATTACTTACGTATTGCATTTGAAAGTATAATGAAATGACGCATAAAAACTCGTAGACAACTAAAAATCTAGTCTTTTCCACCAACATAATGTTGCGATTATCAGAACGTAAAATGTTTAATTAATTAATTACTATTCGGTTTACTTTTTAAAAGACGTAGTAAGTACTGTAACACTTTATGTAAGAGATTACATTTAACAAAGTTCTTGGGATGTTTTTTTATCATATTAAATTTGCACACTGAAGAAATAGCTACGCTGTGATCAGTCATGTTATTAATAGTATCAAGGTTTTTGATATTACATGAAAAATAAAGGAAATCGTATGCATTTATGTAAAGTAGATAGATAACTGTAACATTATCTGTCAAATCTGAAATCTAAGGACATGATAAACCTGTAAAAGTATAATAGATATGTGTGAAGAAATGCTTTAAGGAAAATCATTTGCACCATCACTGTTTGTTAGTTTACGTTTACTAAAACTGCGTTCGTTGATATCTTTAGGACATTTAAATTTTGACCTTATAGGTACTTACCTTATTTTTCGACATGACTAAATACGTTATTTTTTGACAAAGATTTTTGTAACCATCAATATTGATAGCAGACGAGGCGAAGAAAATCGGCAAGACTTGGAGCGACATCAACGCGATGGAGGACTGCCCCCTTAGACAAAACGCACTTTTTGATCGAATCGAAAATCGAATCCGTCAAAACTCCATACAAAAAAGGGGCTTTTCGACCACTTTTCGACTGGTTTGCGATTATAATTTGCACTTTGTCTAGACCCACTGTTGTAGACGCCCTCTGCCCCATCAAGTGGACATAGAACATTAATCACCAACACAATTTTGATAGGAAAGCATGACATAGATAATATAATAGGTACTTGTGTCGATGGTAAAGTAAAACTAATTGAATCCGGAGCTGGTAACATCTTCGATCAATGTTTTTCCTGTCAAAACTTTTGACGTTCTAAAAGACAACAACAAAATTAATGCAGAATAAAATTAATAGTTACCTCTGGCGGGTTCAAAGACCCATAAGTGGCGTTCTTCTTCATGGTACCCTTCTCAGGTCCCTCATCCCCAGCGTCGAAGCTCTCCTGGTTCCTTTCAGTCTGAGCCAGCTTCCTGAACTCGTCTTGGTAGTTCAGCTCCTCTAAAGGAATCTCCTTGAAGCTGGTCACGGTAGCAGAGACGCAAAAGATGAAAATGATGGTGATGAGAGAGAAGACTGCTCTGACGTGGCCGCCGAACAACTCGCCTGGAATTGAGATTATTGACACGGTTTCAAAATCGTCATGATTTAGGAAATAAATCACAATCAGTAGTAATAAAAACGTCACCGTGAATCAGACTCCATCAAAGGTTGTCAAGTGAGTTAAATATTCTTGAAATCTTTTATGAAGAAATCAACTTTTTTATCGTCGTATAGAGAAAGATGGCATAGGACGGTATAGGATTTCCATTTAATTGCAAGGAGTTAACTCCATAACAGCTTTTTATCTAGTGGCTTCTACTTTACCAGTTTTTTTACAAAAGACAGCTTTTTCAATGTAATTATTAACTCTATAAAAATTCAGTAAAAATATAAATAACGGCGAGTATTTTTACCTAATCGTGTCTCGTCCCAGTTGATTCCTCCTAATGCATACCCGAAGAACCCTCCCAGGCCCGCCATCACTGTGAAGGTACTCAAACCCTTTGCATGGTCCTCTGCAATAAACAAAGTCAATGTTAAAATTAGTTCCATATTAAACTGCAGGTATTTTCAGCAAGAAGAAATTTAAAAGTAGACCATATCTTTCTCTTTCCCGGTGCACTAACATTTTACGACAAAAAATGCTTAAAAATGACTCAAATCATAACACCTATAATCAGATAGTCACAAAGCAAACACTTCTCTTTAAAGTAGGTAAACAATTTCAACAGTAGCCACGTTTGATTACATAAATTGTCCTATATAAATTAAAGAATAACAAGTCAAACATTTTGTCAAATATTGTCCATAATCACCTCTTCTCGCAAGTGTGTTGAAGATTTGCAAAACAAATTAGTTTTGGAATTAGGTCCTTATCAAATGTGTCTTCTTCAATATAAAAGAGCATGTGAGTAAATGTTATATTTGCTTACGGTTCCAACAAATTCTTATCAGGAGACAATACAAATACCTATAAGACAATTTCCAGTTTTTAAAATCTCGTAGCGCAGTCAGACATGTACCTTACTTACAAGTTTGTTTTTACAAGTATTGTAGTAAGTAATACGTTTCTAGTGTCATGGTTGAATGCCACCTCATGTGCCAGGTCATAAGTATCATATTTCTTTCCAACACCAGACTTGGTGCCTAGTGCAGGAATATAGGTACTAGATTTGTTTCAAGGTCTCTTGTTTTAACGCCTATTAATTTATGTTAAGTGGTCATCAGTCGTTTTGTGACAGCTCCTTTTTAAATAAATCAAATTATTCGAGCATTATCTTGTCTGCAAGTCATGGCTTCCGGCAGATTTCTTTCATCTGTGTTTTTCTAATCTCTTTGAAAAGTCTGATTTTAGATTGTACCTATCTACAGTGCTTTAGATTCGTCTACTCATCATATATTTGTCAATTTCCGGTGTCCTCTCAAGATAAATAAATCTGTGTCAATAAGTCCTCAGAATTTATTTACCCAAAGTACCTACAGTATATGAGCAAACAATACATGGCTATCAACTTTGTAAGCAAAACGATGAAGCGTATCTTACACACGTCCCGTATTTTCGTGACGATTGGATTTCACTGGTTTTATATTTAGATCAAAGAAGGAAGCCATTAATAATCACTATGTAAAATACTTAATCTAATTTTACTTTAAGTTTCTTTCCATGCCTACAACCGATCAATCTCGTTTAGACATCCATGAAGCTACAAAAGTTATCTACTACCATTCTAAAAATAATTTTGACGTCACTTGTAGTTGCGGTATGTGCCTCGGAAAAGCCAAAACCATTCACCAACAGAGCAGAGATAAATCAATCACAGAGGTGACAGAGATAACCATGTTTTTCGGCACTGAAGACTCCAGAGTCACATGCTCCGAATTACTGTTGTTTAATTGAAATAACTTACAAAGTGGGTGAAGGATACACAAAGTCTTATGAAACTCGTTAATTATAAGTAATCATTGTGACAATTTTATGTATATCTTTGACTCAATGATTTGGTTTGGATAGCAAGAGCCTAAAAATTATATCTACTTAAAATCTGAATCTCATTCTAACTTAGAAGGGTAGGAAAAAATAGGTACTGTTGATGGAAATCACCATAATTGACAAGACTGCATCGTTATATCGCTTTAACTGATTCAATTTTCACTGTTGCTGTTAGCTACTAAGCTTTCAGCTGATTTTTTATTAGATTTATTTACAGCTGAATTTTAAAAATAACTAGGAGAGCTGAGTAATTGTAATACGTTTTCCTTACATTCATCAACGTAACCTAATTACTCTGAATGATATCGTAACACAGTCTTTTATTTTGCCTTAGAAGCGGACATCCCTGTTTTATTAATTCAATCGTTAGATATTACTATTATGTATAAAATTGATGAAGGAACTAGTAGTTGTATTTGCTTAGTTTCGAAGAAATATTCGATATTGTGATTTTATAAAAAAAACAGTTTTAGAAGCATATTTTCGNTGCCATTTTTCTAGGACAACGGAGAAAAAAATGTTTTCTGAAAATCATAAATTATTAAATAATTCCTAAATTACTGCAGCAATAACCATTTATTTTTGCATAAAGGTAGACGTTATAGTGATAGGTAAATGTATTTACAAAATTCTGACTTAATGTAATTTTTTTAGAAAATATGCTTCTAAAACTGTTTTTTTTATAAAATCACAAAATCCAATATTTCTTCGAAACTAAACAAATACAACTACTAGTTCCTTCATCAATTGTATACATAATAGTAATATCTAACGATTGAATTAATAAAACAGGGATGTCCGCTTCTAAGCCAAAATAAAACACTGTGCGTAATAACTATAGGAAACACACTTAGAGGCACTCGACAGGAGCAGGTAGAGATTATATTGATACAAGTCTATTTTGAGAACTTGTTTAGTTCGAGCACTCGAACCTGTGATAAAGGCACGAATCTATTCACACGCACTAAGCACGGTGTTCACCTTTTAGTAATTAGAGACAGTTACATTAATTAGATTAGATATAATGACATGGATACTGTCACAAAACTGTTAAAGTGTCCGAAATTCCATAGCTTTGTCTATTTCAATAACAAAGTCTAGCCAGATCATGGGGAAATTATCCGTTTGCTTTTGGTAAACTAGAGATGGAGGTGGTGCACCTACGAGTACATTGAATGCGAAATGACCTGAGCCCCGATTACGGTAATTTTTAACGTCAACAATCCAGACACGCTTCTCGATTCTGCGATACGATTGGTCGTTCAACAGCGTACGTCAGCTGTTTTGACCAATCGTATCGCAGAATCAGAAACGCGTCTGGATTGTAGACGTTATACAAGTTACCGTAATCGGGGCTCTGGTGATGATGATTGTAGGTGCAAATAGATAAAATATGTATAAATCACGTGACACACTAATTTGAAAGAAAGTAGACTTTATGGACGCTCGTAAATCATGTGAAACTTAAATCAGATAAACAAATGACGGTGACCTTAGCATAAATAAAACCAGGCCACAGTCGGACGGGAGCGAAGTCACACTTTTATTTGATGTCGAAAACAAACAGATCTGACCTGGTACTGTCACGTCCAGCAGATAAGCCCTGGCCGGGCTTTGGCAGGCGTCAGCATCGAAGTCCAGGAAAACAGTTCCCAGGACTGTGAAGAGGACTCCCCAGGGGTGATAGTTCGTCCTCTCTTCTTCCAAGGCAGAACTCCGAGGGCCCAAGACTGAGGGCACTCCGGTTTGGTTGGTAGGTCGCTCGTCACCAAGCGCGTAACCTATCGCCTCCCCATTTGGCACTAAGATTAAACCTGTGACAAAGAACGATCGGTGTTGTGACACGACATAATAATGCCGAAAGTTGATACAAGATTTAACTTGTCAGCCCAAAAAAAAAATAATACTTGACGAAAACGTGACCGAAAACGTGAAGACACTGGTATTCCAAAATAGATCTATTATATTTCACTGTCAGATAAAAACCTATGAAGTAAAGATTGAGTAAAGAAAAGTATTTATTTTTATTATTAGGTTAAAAAGACAAATTAAACAACATTCTCGTGATCTACTAAAGCAGTGCGCATTTTGAAAGTTTATGTAGGTATTTAGAAAAGAGATAAAAATTGGTACGCATTTTTTTAAAGTAGTCTCATGAAATGAGACGATTCTAAAAATAATTTTATAGTCTCAAAGCTGCTTATTTATTTACTTGTAGGTACTCCTGCCTGAGTGACATTAACTTCTATTAATTCCGGGAAATATTCTTACGTCTTTAATGAACCGAAAATTTCGAGAAATTCTAGGAGCTCCGGAGAGCTACTAAGCTATTTTATCAAAAAATGCTTACCAAGTAAAACTCCAAATGACATGAGCACAATGAAAGGTCTTCTTCTCCCAAACTTTGACTTGCATCTGTCGCTCAGCGAGCCCAGCAATGGGGTCATGAAGAACCCTATTAGTGGGGACAATGCCCACACCAGAGTCATCTGTTGGTGAGGCACTCCTATCTGCAGCAGGGTTGGAGACACAAAGGCTGTTTCTCCAGCGTACGAGAACTCTATGCCCATCACTGCTGCCGATATACGCATGAGTTCGACGCGGCTTTTCCTCCTTCAGAAAAAAAAACAGAATAGGTACTTGTTAATTGAAACCCAAGTAAGTTTTCTTTCGACGTAAATATAGTAGGCGTTACTAGACTGAGACTCCATTTAGAAAATCCTCAATATTTGACTCCAAAATCTACAATAATAACTTTTGAAAACCTTTTTAGACGATCATTTACTATACACATTCAATGAATAAGTACCTTAATAAAGTAGTTACCGCTTATAAAGATTCATAAAGCTTTGTCTGCACTAAATTGCATTTAGATCCCAATATTTCATCAAAAATTGTGATTAGATAACAAAATGTAACGTCATTGTTTTGTGCGAGACATGTGTTACGACTTGTGCCCTAATGTAAACGAGGCTTTAGTAGGTATCACAGGTCCCGCCAACTTTTCGATCAATCGCTGTCAATTTATCAAAGAGGAAAATCTCGAAAATTACCTTTGCCCGAGTTACTCCGAGCTCGCATAAAGTGGCTTTCAGAATTCGTGAATTACATTGTATTCAACAAGTAACTGATGGACTGTTGTGGTTTTTCCTATCAATGTTTAATTTGGCATCAACAACGGGTTTTATCGCGACGAGTAGGTTTAAAGTGACAGACTTTTGTTTATGTAAAGAAATTCTTTGGAACAACATCCTGTCTTTCTATAGTCTTTTTCACCTAAGATGATCCGTATGACGTTTCGAGTTTGAAAGATTTAGAGATGTCACATAACTAAACCATAGCGATTTATCTATCGATTTTATTCGAAGAGTTAGTAAAACCTACTTTTAGAGAAATATTTTGTATAGGTGTTAGGTATTTAACAAAAAAACATGTTTTTTTTAATTACAAATATTATTGTAATTTTTTTTTATTGATAATATTCAAATTTCATGGTTCGTGTTCAAAAAAACGATTCCTAAAAAGTACTGGTTCTGTTTCTTTAAATTAAAAACTATTAATTTATTTTCAATGCGTTCATTAAAGTCAATAATCGAAAAATGTAGTTGATTTTTGTGATGTTTTTAATAACTAAGTATTCACTGCAATCGATTAATGAACCGCGGAAATAATCGATTTTATTATACAAGAAATACCCCAGCACTAAATCTATTCCGTTTCACACATTGCGTACATTAAATAAAAAATATTTTTACAACGTATTTAATTAAAATATAATCAATAGACTCAGATTTTACTATATATTTCATGACAAGTAGTTAATCTTTTTTTATTACATTGCTAATAAAATACAAATATTTTTTCAAAAATATTCTGCATATGTAGTATGCGTAATATGGATAACCTTGAAGTGTCATACGGATCATCTTACGTGAAAAAGACTATAATGCGTAATTAAAAGGAAAATTAAAATAGTTTAGTATAAAGTACTTTTCTATTAATTACTCTTTATAACTAGCAATCTTTATTATTAAAAAATAAAGAAGTATTCATAAAATATGTAACTACGATTCATATTTCCTGAACCAGTTTAATAATCCATAAGTTAATTAGTCCTAGTTAGATTCCTCAAACTATATCTTGAACATGGACCATAATAATAATCAATCAGTACAACAGCAAAATGATCAAGAAATTGTCAAGTCATTACTTACCTAAATAAATCACTGTACGCGCTATCCTGCCAGACCCTTTCCGGAGGCTCGTCCGAGTTGGGGATCCCAAAAAGCGACTCCTTAACCACATCCTTAACCCCTCGGGGGTGCTGCTCCCTCCAGTTGCTCCACCGTTCCTTGTACTTGTCCCGCACACCGTGAAGACGCCCCGTCACACCTTGGTATTCATTTAATTTGTCTGCCATTATTAATACTTCACTTATTCATAGCTTTGTAACTCTACGAAAATACTTCATTTATTCATTATAGGTTCAGTAAGCTTACGAAACTTGGGCGGCAATATTGGTTATGATAAAATTTAATTCAAACATCAGTCTGAGAAATTACAGTGATACAACTTGAAAGAGACCATCACCGCGAGAACTGAAGACAGTTAAAATTTTCAAAAGTTTTCAGTCACTGTTATTTCCTGTATATTGTAAGTGAACTTCACTGGACTTCGTTAAGTGTAACAAGCGTTAGTTTGCGGAGCGTGACGATGTTTGCTCGAGGGCAGCGACGGGCCCGGGCGGCGGCGGCGGACTAGCGCGCGCGCCGCCCTCGCCCGCCCAGCGGACCGAAACGCCGCTCGTAGGGCGCTGGAAGAGACTCGAAGTTTCAATTAATCGACCTCATTTGTTTTTAATTCTTGATGTCGTTTATTTTGTTTACAATAAATACGTCATTTACTTTACTTAGGGCTGATTTTTCAATCGTCGGATAACTCTTAACTGAAGAATAACTTTGACAGTTTCAGTATGGGGAATATGTGAAAATGACAAGCTTATTCTTCAGTTAAAATATATCTGACGATTGAAAAATTAGCCCTTAATTTGATAAGTTTCCAAACATGTAACTTATTAGGATGTATCAAGTTCAAATGATACATATTTTGGTTTCATCATCTTGGGATTTGCAAGTTAAAGATAACATTTATTAGAAATTAACCAGTTTAGTAGCATGATGGAAAGTTTTCATGGTTTTATTATTAATGAACGCTCTCTTCTTTAGAGTGTGAGGGCCAGTCCAAAAACATACTTATCTGTTGCTTACAATAAAGCATACACGTGAGATACATGAAAAACCCACCCACTTAACTGTCCTAGAAAATTGATCGATACGACAAGACATGTCGTCAGAACATATCTACACAATCAATATTAGTCATAGTGAAATGATTTTAATATTATAATCTATGTCTATCTACACATGAGTAGGTAGGTAGACATTCAATTTATTTCATTCACTGTCGCTAATACCATGTTCTGTTCATATTAAAGTTGGCAGAAAGTTATTAAAAAACCTGAAATTTCAGGACCCGTTCCTGTAAAAAGATCGTTACGCAGATCGGCGTTGGCAGTTCATTCATTTTGTTTAGTTGATAAATCCAATGTTGTTAAACATTCGTCTGTCTGTATCAGAATTGAAAGTAAATAAAATAGATGGTCCCGGGCGTAACAGTCCGGGATTACGCTTATTGCGTCCCGGGGGATCGCGACGAATTGTTCCTTCGATCCAGTGTATAAACACGTTGATAAGTCTGTCAGTATTTGGTCGGTGTAGCACAAGCGGGAGCGGAGAAAACATTGAATATTTTTGTGTAGAAAATCAAAGGAACTTCAGAAGGCCACAATTCGTTTTTAATCATGAGACGTCCAATGATAAAACAAACTCTCCCTAATGATTTCCTCAAGACCGCAGACCTGCGCTACCCGTACGTATCCCGCTGCTTAATTAGTCGTATTTTAATGCAAGAAAGTATAATTTTTAATGATCTTACAAGTACATAAATAAAGTAAAACTCGCCTATCTGAACTGTCACAATAACATACATTTAAACCATTATACGTAGTGTTAAACAAAACAACATCTAGCGCTAAACGGATCAGATTTCCGCTTGAGCTCAACCCAAACTGAGCTTTATTCTACGATCAAACCAGGATTTACACGTTGCTGAATTGACTGAACAAAATGGGTGCGCCAATGTCTATCGCAAGGAATTATTTGTAACGCAGTAACAAAGAACATTATTACTTTATTACATACATGATGAAATGAAATGAAATAGTTTATACAGTACATTACAGGCCCCTTTGGCACTTACGTCATAATTATTACAGTTGCGGATTTGAATCCCGAGTTCAATGCTAATGAATAGGTATTTAGGTGTACCTACTCGGAGAGATGAAATGATAAAAACTCAGGACAGGATAAACATTTTATATTGCTTGTTAAAAAATAAGAAAATACAAAATCTATCTGAATATCAATCAAGATGAACTAAAACAATAAGGGTCTTAAATCTTACCACGAGTATTTTAGTTGAAATAGAACGCGAACGTTTAAAATCTTAAATAAAGATGAAGTAATTTAATAATTTTTAATCGTCGTTATAAAATGAAACATGTAACTTATTACAAACAATTTTTTATTTAATATCGGCTATTGACAACAACACAGCACAATATTTTGTTGCTTGCTTGGTGACTTACCCAAATACCTACTCGAAACACATTTGTCATCTCGTCTCAAGTTCAAGACAAATCTTATCGCAGACAACTCTATATTGATAAAATAGGGCGCTTTACTTATCAATATTGATAAATTGGAAAGGCCGTGTCACTTTCAAAGATCGTATCACGAGGAAAATCTTTACGAGATCTTCAAGGACTTGTTTTTAAGTAAAAAGTAATTCTATCTTTGGTGTGCTAAAGGAGTGCGATATCTTTTCAGGCAACTGAAGTACAGATGCACTTATTTCATTGATTAACATCAGATACTTCAAACATACATGTAAATACTGCTCTCTTTCACTTTTGTGTATGTCACCTTCAATATACCTACATGGTTAGATAGGGTGGGGTACCCTGCATGTAAGTCGATGTAAGAAGTTTGCTATCCGTTTGAATGGTGAGTATGTGTAACTTGATAGAAAAATAATCATGAAGAAACAAAAGCAATGAGAAAAGATCAACAAAAGAAAAAAGAATGAAAAAATAAAAGGGAATAAGCAAAAGGGACCCAAGAAAAACAAGGAAAACAGTTTAGTGTATTTGTTATCTAGGCGCCACAGTACAAGCGTTACTTACTTAGAGGATAGAATTATTAGTGTAATTGTAAATAATTTGTTTGATTTGGTATTAAATGGGCTTTATAGGTTAATAAACAATATTGTCTGCTACCACACAAGGCCAGCTCCCTCACGGCACTGAAACCCTCGTGACTGAAAGAAAATGGCGCATTTGTTCTTATTTAACTCCAGAGCTAATTTAAATACCTTTGTTAGAGACAAACCGGTGAAAATTAATTCAGTTCACAATGAAACAATTGTAAGGATGCTTCGTATTGATTTATAGCCGCGTAAGACTCGTGTTTGCTATTTACCAAGAAGATGTTTGAAAGAGATTGGAAGTACAATCGGTGTGCGTTACTCTAGATAAGTATTGTTTCAAAATTCAAGATCATTGGATGCTTGGGTATACGCACTTTATTTAGACGAAGATACCAAGCCCTCTTCTGTTAATAATAGCCAAGAACACAAAGTGACAGGGAAAAAACAAAATGAAAAAAGGTTGCTCATTTTAAAAGTTATTTTTTTTATCTTAGCACTGTTGACTTACTACGACTACAACACGTTTTTAAGCTTGTGCAGAAGGTAGCATAGATATAAATCTATGCTACCTTCTGCACATTTTATTTTATTAACGAATTATATAAATAATTCGTTAATAAAATAAATTATTGCTACAAACAATTTGGTCTGTATTTTTTAATTGAGCGGCTACTAAAAGTATAAGTATTTTAACCAATCAGGTTGAACCGCGTGTAGAGTAACACGTCTACCTACTCCAATAAAATTTGCGGTTTAGTTTTAAAAAAACTGAAACAAACGCAATTACAGTTTTTTTGGCTTAATGATTAACATCTTCGTTATGTGGCAAAAATTCAAATTATGGTGAATTAATTAATGAAGAAATTATAAGTTCAGTAGCCTGAGAATTTTCATGATTACAAAATGGCTGCTCGTTTTAAATTATCATTGACAACGGCTTATCGCCGAGATCCCCTGTGAAGAGGATCTTTAGGTGATTGAAAAGTCATTTTTGGAAAGCCGTCGCCAATTTCTGTTGTCAACCAAATTTTTATCAAGAATGGTTAATTCGTTTATTAATTTTCCAACTCCGCACCGTCTTGTGTTTATCTATGGTTTGTTGTCACAGGAGATATGCGAGATGGGTTGTCAGGGTGTGATTGATGGGCAAGGTCAACTATGGAAATGTACACCTTGGAGGAACCAAGGTTGGTGACCTTGGTTTTTGTCGTCAGCCCTACATTAATTACTTTAGTGATATAATGGCACCGCGATTAGCTACTGAATTAGGTTAAGCTCTTACGTAAGAGGCTTTTCTTCGTTGGTAGAAAGTGAAAAAGAAAACGAGTACAGTTACAAGTTACTAGAGGTTACTTGCCATAATTTTACCTTTATGTTATAGCCCAATTAATGTCCTGCCTTGTTCTGCATAAAAAACCTGAAGTCTAGCTAGAAGCTTGCTAATTGTATCAACTTAGGATATTGAGCTTATTGTAGAGTCAACCATCATAAAAAAAGCTGCACCAACATACATAATAGATAATAAATAAATAAATATCCTTGGACATTTTACACTACGCTTCTAGTTCGAAATTAAGCAAAGCTTGTAATATGGTGAAGTTAAGAAGTGATGGTGCGTTACATTGTATTTAAGTGTTTAAAAGGCATGCAGTTTTTAGGCGCAATTAGTTTCAACTATCGGCATCGTAGCATATGTATCTTTTATTCAAGATTTTATCTCAAAATCTTCGCCATCAGTTGATGGTTTTCAATCTTTACTACGGTTAGTCATTTGTCAAAAATACAACGTATTTTTTTTAGTGTCTCAATTTGAGGAATAGAATTATCCTAACAAAAAACAAATGACTAACCGTAGTAAAGATTGTAAATAATGAAATCGTCGGAAATATCTAGTCACTAATCGCATCAAGATCATCATGACGCACTGCAGTGACTTGATCATAATAAAGTATTAATTAGACGTATAACTAACCATTTATACTATTTATCACCAATCTCACTATAAATTCAAGCCTATCACTATGATATCAAAGTTTTTGTTCTCTACCATTCGCTGGAGCAAAATATCGTGAACCTTTTCTATTATGAGATACCTCTTACAACGTTTTATTTGTTCGGTAAACTAACAAAATCCAACTCCGAGAAGAGAAACAATACGGCAAGTGTTTGCTTGTCGATTTCTCTGTCATATTTCCTGACGTTCAATCCAAGCTAGAATCGCATAAATCATTTTGACGTTTGTTATTCATAATATCAACTTTTAATCTTATCGATTGTGTCGGAAATTGAACGGTCGTCTTTTTATTTTAGACAGTCACATCAATATACATTTGCCTACCATATAGATAACTATAAGATTATGTAAGTCTACTTAAGGTTATAGTAATTTATTGTAGTTT